GGTCACGATTATTCATAAGAACTTGGCTACCGCCTAGAGTCGTCAGAAGAATTATCCCAATAATCATAGGTGACCCTTGGAATTCGCCGTTAGAGACCAGAATTTCCTCAAGATTTTTTTTTTCTACAAGGAAAAGATGCAGTTCGGGAAAAGAGAGAGGTTAAGCCCTTGTTTTGTGGGACCTTTTCTGATCATTGAGCGGATTGGACTCGTTGCATACCACCTTACTCTATCACGAGAATTTACAGGTCTACATGATGTTTTCTACATCTCGATGCTCAAAAGGTTCCACATTGACCCTTCTCATATCATTTCTCACGATGAAACACAAATACAAGTTGATATGACATATGAAAAAATTTCTGTGGAGATTCTTGGATGGACTGACAAGGTCTTGCACATCAAGAATATTCCCATAGTGAAGGTATAGTGGCAACATCATACACTAGAAGAGGCGACATGAGAGTTGGAAAACGAGATGGTGTAAAAGTTTCCAGACTTGTTTGAGATAAATTTGGAAACCAAAATTTTCTAAGATGGGGAAATGTAACACCTCGCCCATCACTGTGCTTAATTTGTATTTAATAATTATATGGGCCGTAAGGCCATATTGAACTCATTTATTTTATTCAGCAGCTTATTATCGTAATTTGTAAATTATGTCAATTTTTATTTTGATTTTATTTAATTTTATTTTATTCTAATTATTTATTTTTTAAATGAATTTCAGAAAAACAGAAAACAGGAGAAAATCCCACGAGGAAGGGCTGGTTGCGCTGGACGTGCGCATAGTGCGTACATCCCATCCGCGCGCGTGGCATGGGGTAAATCCTGTGCGCGTTTTGTTGTGCGTAGGTGGGCCGTCTGCGCATCACCTCGCGCGCGGATAGGCATCGCACACTGTGCGCGCGTTGTCTGTGCAAGAGGCCTGCTTGGATAGGCCCCTTCGCTTGCAAGCCAGCCCTGCAGCATGCGGGTGAGTGAGGCCACTGCCACCTCGGGCAGTGTGCCATAGCCACCTCGGGCAACGTGCCGTCGCTCCTAACTCTACCACCGGTGGAGGAGGTCTTCCTCGTTCATTTTTCGTGCCGAATATCTTTTTTTCTATCTCTCTTCATCGAATTTTGCCACTTGGTGCAAATTCAACGACCCCCATTTTCTATAAATAGGGGCCTTTCTTTCCCATTTTCTCCATATTTCCATTCTTTCACCTTTTAAGAATGAGAGAGAGTGGGAGAGAGAAAGAGAGAAAGAGAGAGAGAGAGAGAAAAAAAAAGAGTAATCTATAGAGAGAAGGTGAGGAAGAAAAGAAGAACGGTGTAGAAGAAATTATCGAGGTTTTAGTAAGAAATTTAGTAGTTATTTAAACATTTTAAAGGGTATTTTTAGACAAAAAAAAAGATTAAATTGATAATTTGGGATTTTGACTATTTTGTATGCTTTTTATTTATAGGGTTAATAAATTGAATTGTTCTTGATTTCAAGCATGCTATGTGAGCGATAGACACTTGATGGTTTGCATGTAATTATAATAATTTAAAACCAGTAAAGTTATTTAGAAAAATAAAAAAGAACAAAAAAAAAGAAGAAAAGTGGAATGAAGCATGAATGGTCCGAAATATGTATCTGTGTTGGCATGCATAATGCATCAAGTGTCTCGTTTGAATTTTTATCTCTGAAGGGTATCTGTTTCCCTAAACCCATTCGGGGTATCTGTTTCCTCCTCCTTCATCTGGTTTGGAAAGGCTTAAAAGGACCATTCCTTATGGATGATGGCATACTCTCTGACGAGAGTGGTGACGCGAATATCTGTTATGGGTCACCTTTGGTTGAGTACTGTCATGACTATATAATATTTTATAGGACCACTATGGTTGGTACAATCGTGATCATAGATCGTACTATGATTTGGCAAACCAGAAATGTGCCTGAGCAAATTGCTGTTATTTGTATCTGATCTGGTCATTCCACATGAGTAGTCAGAAATCTGTATTTGCCTTTATAGATGGAAATCATAACGACTTTACGAAGCATGACACGCAGATATAAACATTTCATAATTTATTTGATTTTCTCTATTATTTGGTATGCTATATTTTTGTCTTGATTATATTAACGTGATATTTTCTCTAATAAATAAATTATTTTCATAAGGTAAGATAAGTCTACGAAGTAACCAAATAGTTGATATTTATGTTAGTATAATTTACGATGTTATTTAAATACTATTTTTCTTACTAAGCATATGAAACTCACTCTTTCCATGCTCCCCCCCTCCTCCAAGATGAGGAAGAGAAGGAGGAACTGCTAGCTAACCTACCCATTTAAGTTTATGAGGATCTCGTGGATCCAACAAACTTGAGTACATGATCGTTCCCGCATTCTGATAAGTCCAATAGCATATGTTTTATTAAGAAAATATATGTTTAATTATTGATTGAAATATTTTTTTTAAAGAAAAATTATAAGTCCTTAAGAGGCTTTAAGGACTTAGAATTAAATGGACGAGGAAATAGTTAAACATAAGATTTGAGATAGTAACCCAAGTATCCAAACTTAAGGATGGAAAATACAAACAAATTTTTTTATGTTGCTTGATGAATTCAACATTACACAAGGTCTAACATATATATATTGGCAGCATAAATTGAACTTATTTGATACTTAAGAGTTCTAGTTGAATTTCGATGGTGACACACTCCTAGCCAAAAGGTGACCCTTCTAATATCTTTCATGACATCTTTCTTTTCTAACACTTTTCCTTTCTTGATTCTAATATCTTGTTTCAACGATGTAGTTATATTATATTTATCCTCATTGGTGCCAACAATATCTTTCTTAGGTTCTTTATTTTTCTTTTTTTGACACTTGCCTTTTCCTTTTTTGTCATCTACTTCTCTTTTTTTTTAATTGCATAACCAATAACCTTTCCTCTCTTTTATATCAACTTGGAATAAGATGAAGAAGAATAGAGCCATCCCTAAAACAACATCATTTTTTAGACGTCGTCAAAGAGTAGGTGAACAAATTACGTGACTTCTAATTATATGAAAATCAATGAGGCTCTAGTAGAGATAAATCTTTAATGACCTAGCTTCCCATTTATGATCACTAGGGCAAATCTATTAGTTAGAATTTTGATCTCAGACAAGTTAGAGAACTCCATGGAGTAGCTTTTCGAAAACAAAGGAAAAGATAGCGAAATGAATGATAAGTCTCAGTGTTTTTGGGAAAAATAAGTTTAAGTTTGATAACTATTTTGAAGTTAAAAAATATTTAGGATTGAAATGAATGATAAGTCAAACTTTAAGAACTAAATTGATGATTTGTCTTTCCTTTTGTCCCACTTTTTTGGATAGTACAATTGTACTTTAAGGCATGACCCTCTTATTTTTCTTACGTTAGTATACAATAAATGATTTATTGCACATTTTTAGAGTTATAATTGTACTCTAAATTATTTTATTGTGATTTCTCTTTTTCTCCTACACTTTATTTTTTTGTGATTTTATTTCTCGCACTTTTTTTTAGTCCACCAATTTATTTTCTTAAAAATTATAATTGATCCTTTGTTTGAGAGGTAATTTATTGAAAAAAATGTTGAATTAGGAACCTTGAGTATTTTGCTTAAACATTAACTTTATAACCCTTAAATAACCAAATAGGAGGCTGACTTCCGGTGAAACAATCTAGGATACCTAATAATAGCCTAGAGCATACTTAACTTCTAAATCCATGATTAAGATTATGATAAGTATGACATCTAGTAAGAAATCTTGGTAGTCACAAGTAAATTCCAATTGCTTTTTTTTTTTAAAGCTGTTTTGGGTGATGACTTCATTATTAATCCTCCAAGATGTGTGCCTGGGCCTTCACTATACTTTATAAGGCCTTGAGCCCAATGATGTACCAAGTCATAATAAAATCCTAGATAAAAGATTGACGTCTCAATAAAGTCGTAGAAATTTATAGATACCTTTTTATAGTTGAATTCAATATGCAATTTATGATAAAATAATAAACTTTTTAGGTTGATCTTAAAGGGATTTGATTGAAAGACCAAAACTTCCTTCAAATAACTACAATTAATGCATTGAGGGAGATAGGGTGAGAGAAGGGAAGAAAGAAAAGGAGAGAGCAAATATGTTAAGATTTAAAATTTGAAATAACTTCTATTGTCGCTGCGAACTTCATATAGATTGATAGAGAAGTGGAGAGTTAGAATGAAGGATCAACGAGAGATGAGAGGGAAGGACAATGTTTAGTTGGCAAGAAGTGAGCGAAAGGGAGAAAGAAAATAAGTGTATATGGAATAGGGAAGTGTTAGCCTAGCTCTCAAACTTTTTAAATTTTTATTTTTTTTAATTTTAAAAACTTGAAAAATGAAAACATTTTTAATAATATGAGAGGTAAAATACACATATATAGACCTAAATGCCACGTGTATATATAACACATCAATAGTTACATGAAAGAGTTTTTTTTTGTCTTTTAATTTTTTGTTTTTGTTATGTAAAGATAAAATGAAACATCACGATTCACGTAAGAACCATGAAAGTAATAATTAAACTTTCAAGACAGCCTGTCAATATACAACTTCATGAGATTCACATACAAAAGAAGAGGCACCCAAGATCTCCAAACACCCAAGCTAATGTCAACCAGACACCTCATTGCTATATATATATATATATATATATATATATGAGAGACCATATGACTTTAAATTAATGAATCTATATGTAATAATTTCTCTGATTAGTGACTAACTAACATTAATATATACAGAAGCATAGAAGGAAGATGTTGAAATTCCAGATAGACTAAAACATATTCAAATGTGAAAGCACACACACAGATATATATATATATATATTTGTTATAATCCGAAGCGGAAATACACACACAGATATATACCTGTATACATGTACATATACGTGTATATATTGAAAATTCAGCTTCCGGGAGGCCTAACTTTTGCCTTTGGAAGGATCACATGTTTTTCACAGCTTCTCTTCAATGATTCAAAGGATTTATTTGGAGAGAGAGAGAGAGAGAAAAGCAGTTGTGAAAAGAAACATATAAGAAGAATCGTGAACAGTCTTGAACGTGGCCTTTAATTATAAACCAATACGACACTGTTTCAATTATTGAGCTCTTTTTTTTTTCAGTTAATTAATTCAATTTCTTTTTTTAAAGAAAAAATTTCAACTCTCTCCCCTTTCTTTGTGAGAAAAGTTGGGACTTTCATTCATGTGGTGATGATGGAGATTTCTACCAAGTCAAGAACTTTGCTTAAGGTCATCTTTCTTGGTGATAGTGGGTATGATATTTCTCTCCTTTTCCTCCTACTATTTTCATGGATTTATGTTCCCATTGATTTTTAGTTTTAGTTATTTTATATATAAGTAAACTCTATTTCACTTCTATTTTTATTTCTATAATAAAATTTATTTAACTTTTTATTACATAAAATACTGTATTTTCAAAGATATTTCGTGAAATTGGAATTTTAGACCAAACATAATGTTATTAGTATTATTTTTTTTCTTCTGAAATTTGCAGGGTGGGAAAGACATCTTTGATGAACCAGTATCCATTATAGCACAGAAATACATTTTTCTCTGTTTCTTGTAATAATGATGTTATGGGTTTTATTGATTTCAATGCTCATTGTGATTTTATCCCTCCAGAATCAAACGCATCATGACATATATAATTTCATTGTTTGAATTATTTCTTTTACTCATTTTGATTTCTATTTACAAAAAATTTGAGCATACTTAAAGTCGAGCAATAAGTCTCAGAGGTGCTATAGGGTGATTACTAAGTACTTGATAAATATAAATGAGTTGACATATTCATATCAAATTTTCGTCAAAAAATTACAGAAATAAAGTTTAAAATATACTAATCACATTTACAAAATCTGAAAAAAACTATTGAAGTATCGTAGTAGTAATAATTGTGATTGTATAAAATATACGAGAATTTGTTTTTGGGTTTAACTTAAATTTAAGATATGTATACAAAAAGTTCAGTGAACAATATAAAGCCACAATAGGTGCAGATTTTGTTACCAAGGAATTGCAGATTGATGATAAAGTGGTGACCTTGCAAGTAAGTAAGATTAATTTTGTTTTTTTAATTAAACAAGACAGTGTTTGGTAATCACATAATTACTTAAAAAGAAATTATTATTCGTTGTGATTTACAGATCTGGGATACAGCAGGTCAAGAAAGATTTCAGAGTCTGGGGGCTGCATTTTATAGAGGTGCAGATTGTTGCATTCTAATATATGATGTTAATGTACAAAAATCATTTGAGTCACTTCAAAATTGGCATGAAGAGTTTATCAAACAGGTCCCTTCACTCTCTTCCTTATATATATATATATATTTCAATAGCTCTAGTTCTAACTTTTTGATCATTCTCTACTTAGACATTGTGATTCATTTTGAATATCAGGCAGATCCAATCAATCCCGAAACTTTTCCATTTATTGTAATTGGAAATAAGATTGATATGGAGGGTGAACATGGGAGAGCGGTATGGAAACATTTTTGTAATTGTGTTACATAATTGATTTAATAAATTATTTTAAGAATTTGAATTCAAGTTAATACAAAAGAATATAATTAATTATTTATACTCCGATATAGATGTAATTGGTTGTATTTTATATAGGTGTCTGAGAGAAAAGCTAGAGAATGGTGTGCTTCGAGGGAAAATATACCTTACTTCGAGACCTCTGCAAAACTCAACTACAACATCGATGAAGCATTCCTATGCATCGCAAACTTGGCACTTGACAATCAAGGACAACAACAAACGTAATTATTAATTTTAAATCATTTTATCAAAGCTAATTCACTTGACCG